ACCAGAAACAGATCAGAGAGGCTGCAAATCGAGGCTGGGAGTTGTTTTGCATGGATATCACATTTTATGATGTGTGATACCATTGTTTATCATTAAGGATTCAAATTCCTTCATTCCCTTAGGCAGAATATTCTCATTTATGAGTCTGATTCAAACTAGAGTAGACAAGATGTAGATTTCTTAGAAAGTGGGTTTCTAATGGAAATGGTGACAATCCATTAACAGCAGGAGGGCTAATGGCTGCCACTAAAAATATACTTAAAGATTACAGTAATAAAAACACATATTTTAAAGTGCCTGCTAGAAGTTCAAGGATTTTTTTTAATGTTGCTGTTAATAATAGGCCACCAGATCCTTTTGGCATTTGATTTTGTCTCATAAATGGGCTTAATCTAAGGTAATGCTGTTGTACTATACTATTTTTTTCTTTTTGATTTTGAGGGGAGTTGGTTGTCTTTGGGAAGAATTATCAGTGCCCTTAATGGAAGGTAAATAATTGGTGTATTCATAGGCATGTGGAATTTTAAATCTGGAAAGGATTTTAGTGATCAGCAAGTCATCTCTCTTGTATCTACTAGAGGAAACTTGAGACTCTAAAAAGTGATGGGCTAGAGCTTAGGAAGGAAAAATGAGTGCCTGAAGGAATTGATGATGTGCCTGAGGTCTTAATATTTTCTCACCTACATGATTATTGCAGTGTCTGCCCTTCTGCTTCATCTCCCTGCCCAAGACATCTGCATTATCTTCCTGTATTCCTACCATACACTTTCTGATGGTTTGTTTTGTTTTCTTTCCACATTTTTATTGGTGCATTATAGTTGTACATAATGATTTATTGTTACATATTCATGTATGCACACAGTATAACAATATAAACTGGCCAGTGTCACTCCCCAGCACTTCCCCTCTCCTACCATATACTTTTTTAAGATCATAAAAGTAATATACAGACAACCCTTGGTATCTGCAAGGTATTGGTTGTAGGACTTCCCTTAGATACTGAAATCTGTAGATGTTCAAGTCCCTTATATAAACTGATGTAGTATTTGCATATAACCTATATAATTCTCCTGTACACTTTAAATCATCTCCACAATACTTACAATACCTAGTACAATGTAAATGTTATGTACATATTTCTTATACTATATTTTTTAAAGAATAATAACAAGAGAAATGTGTACATGTTTGGCACAAGTACAATTTTTGGTCTACAGTTGGTTGAATTCATAGATGTGGAACTTGCAGATATGAACAGCCTACTGTATTCATTATAGAATTATTAGAAAATAAAGACTAAAAGGAGACTAAAAATTACCTGTTGTCCCATCACCCATATCTTTTTACTTCTACATTATATACATTAATTCTACAACATTTAAATCATGCAGAACATATTCTAAAATTGTTTTTACTTTATAATTGCTCATGAGCATTTTTTTCATATTAAATACTTTTGAAGAACCTGATTTTCCTCAACTTCTTAGTATTTCATATGGGAGTTGTATGAGATTTCTCTAACCTATTTAGGGAGTTTTTGTTTTGTTTGTTTGTTTGTTTTTTCACAGTGCTGGGAATGGAACCCAGGCCCTGTACACACTAGGTGGGTACTCTACCACTGAGCCCTGTTTGCACTGAATATCCATATAAACAATAGACATTCACATAGATCTCTGATTATCTCCTCAGGAAAGAAAAAAAAAAAAAAGATTTTGCACCTATTACCAAATTACCCCTGAGAAAGATGCTACTGTGTATTCCTCCTACTTTTCCTGTGCCTTCATCCATCAACACTAGCCATTGCAATTTTTTGAAGAAAGTTAGCAATCTGATATATAAACAACTCATTACAATTATTTGCATCTGTTTGATTATCAGTGACTCTGAACATGTTTAGAATTCATTTATAAATTTCTTTTGTGATTGCCATATGGAACATCCCATATTCCTTTCTTATTATGGTTTTTATTTTATTTTTATTATTTATTATTTTATTTTTATTTCTTATTATGGTTTTTACCCTATTTTTAATTTATAATCTCTATTTAGTATTTATTTATTTATTTGTGGTGCTGGGGATTGAACCCAAGGACGCATGCCTGTTAACCAGACACTACCATTGAGTCAAATCCCCAGTCCCTTTAGTCAAATGTTGCAAAAATTTCCCCATAGTTTTCTATTTACCTTTTATCTTATTTTATAATTTTTTTCAAACTTTTAAATTTTTATGTAGTCAAATATTGACATTTTTCTTTATGGTTTCTTTTATGCTTAAAGATATTTCTAAACAACAAATCTGATCATAGCCCTCCTTTGATTAACATCTTCCCAGGGAGCTTAGGGTGGCAGTCCAGCCTCCTTCTGGAGCTCCAGGCCCAGGCTATTGTCACCCCATATGTTCTAGTCATGCCAAGCAACTTGCACTTAGTACTCTCTTCTTTGTGTCCTCTGCTTGGAAAGCTGGTCCTCTCCCCACCAGTCCCTACAAACTTACCATCAACTCTAATCCCTTTTCCTGTGTATTATCAAAGACCCAGATCAGCCACAGCCATCTGCTTGATTCTTGTCTTCTGCATCCCCTTCTTCTTGTGCAGTACCCAGGCCCCAGAAGATGTTCATAATAATCTGCAGAACAGAATAATCCAAATGATAAGCAAAGTCTAAAATGGGTAGTATTGGTTGAGCTTCCTTAATCTGAAAATACAAAATCTGAAATGTCCCCAAATCTGAAACTTCTTTAGCATTGAATAGATGTACAAGTTAAAAATTCCACCTGACCTAATGTGACAGGTCACAGGCAAAGGACAAATGCACAACAAAAGTATCATGTAAAATTACATTTAGGCTAAGTGTATAAGGTTTATATGAAACATAAATGAACTTTGTGTTCAGACTTGGTTCCCATCCCCAAGATATCTCATTATGTATATGCAAATATTCCAAAATTTTAAAAACTCAAAATCTGAATCACTTATGGCTCCATGCATTGGATGAAAGATACTCAATGTATAGGAAAATTGGCTTTGAGGGCTAGTTTAGGATGAAAAGATTGGACTGAGCTTTTGGAGGCCAAGGTTCAGCTGTGAGCAATCAAAAGACCTCAGCCACCATAGGCAGAACCCTCAGAAGGTGGTGGAATGGAGCATCTGGGAGTGGGGGGTTTGAGCATCAGTCAAAGGGTAGGAGGCCATGTAGGCTGCCAGCACCTAGAGGCCTAGCAGGTAGGAACTCGAGGCCAGGACTGAGTTTCCCAGAAAGGTGAAGGACAGTGTCAGGGAAGGGCTCATTTCTGAAAGCACCAAGCAACAGTCACCTGAAGGGCCAGTTTGGAAAGCCAATTTTACCATCCAAACCTCCTCCCACCCCCACACTCTTCTCTACCCCAGCAAATAGCATAGCCACTTTCCAGAAACTGGAATCACTTGATTTCTTACCCTCCTATGAGCAACATATTGTCTGTTAGCAAGTCCCATTGACTCAACCTTCAAAATATAGCCAGACCATATACTGTAGGATGCCATTTTGATGACATTCTGGAAAAGGTAAAACTGTGGGCCAGAAAACAGATCTGTTGCCAGAGGTGGGGAGAGAGAATGACTACCAGATCATGAGGGAATTTGGGGGCTGATGGAACTCTTCTACACCTTGATCATGCTGGTAGTCTCCCAACTGTGTTTGTCAGAACTCATAGAACTGTGCATGAGAAAGGTGAAATAAATATACCTTAATGAAAATATGGAGAAAATATAGTGGGAATCCAACCTTTTCTCACCATCATTACCACCATCACCGTTGGGCCAGCTGCCATATAACCTTGGATTCTTATTGAGATGGTCTGTTCTTCATTGGTCTCGCTGCTCCTGCCTTTGATTCACTAAAGTCTATGCTCAGCACAGGAGCCAGATTGGTTCTCAGAAGACAAAAGCAAATTTTGTTATTCCTTTGCTCAGAACTCTCCAAAGGTTTTTCTTCTCCTCAGAGAAGGCCCTACATAAAACAATCCTTTGTTCTTTCACCAGCCTAATAACTCCCAAACTCTCCCACACTCCTCTCCCACTAGCTCTCTCCACTGCTGCCATGATGGCCTCCCTCCTCTCCTTGAACATGTCCTGCGGTTCTTATAGTAAAAGATGAGTTCCCACAATAGCCGCCAACACACTAAGCAGCACAGCTCTGTGCTACTTCTCTGGTGATCCCTTAACTCCCTCCCTTATCCTGTTCCCCACCCAGCAGACCCCACTCCACCCCCATGGCCGGCTTGCTCTTCCTAGTGCATACTATGCTTCATTCTTGGAGATTTCTGCCTGATTTCTACTCAACAGAGTCTCTCCCTCATCTCTTTCAGGTCTTTGCTCAAATAACATTTTTTTCAGGGAGGCCTTTCCTGAGCACCACATTTGTAAATGCAGCCCCCCACACCTACTCTTACTTGCTATATCCTCATCTTATTATTCTCACAGACACAGTTCCACCTGACATACCAAATATTTTGTTTATTATGGGATACCTCCTTAAGTCCACGAGGACAGAGATATTTGTTTTATTTTATCCTGCCCTTCCAATACCTACGACATTACTGTTTGCCTGGCAAATAATAGATACTTTGGGGGTGGGATTGTGGCTCAGTGGTAGAGCACTAGCCTAGCATGTGTGAGGCCCTGGGTTTGATCCTCAGCACCACATTAAAATAAAGGTATTGTGTCCAACTACAACTCGAAAATAATATTTAAAAAATAGATACTCAATCAAATTGTGTAGACTGAAGAAAAGAAATAATCCCAAGAACTAGCAGTGATTGTAATCTTATGTATCAGCATCTCTCTAGCTCAGAATTTTGGCCAATTTCTTACCACTCGTGGTCTTTGGCAACATGGAATGTAGTCTATGATGTGGGCACAGGGGTTTTGGGGTGGTGTCTTTCCTTCCTGTCTTTCCTTTTTGTTTTGCTGCCACCTGAGACTGCTACGTTAACAGACACCTTCTCTCAAATTTCTCTCTAGAAGCAGATGTTCCAGGAGAGGAGTAGCCGGATGCTACAAGCCTTATCACCCAAGCAGAGCCCTGTGAGCAGCCCAACCAGGAGCCGGTCCCCTTCCCGCTCCCCGTCACCCACCTTCTCGTGGCTTCCGATCAAAACCTCACCTCCCTCCTCACCCAAAGCAGCCTCAGCCTCCATCAGCAGCATGAGTGAGGGGGATGAGGATGAGAAGTAAAGGTGGCTGGCAGGCAAGAGCCACACCACACAGGAGGGGGAGGGGCACTGGGGATGCCTGGGTGGTGTTTGAAGGGGAAGAATCATGGGAGCTACAGCTCAATAGGGAGGCCCTGAGCTCTGCTAAGGGAAGGTTGATCTGTTCTCCCTCATCTTCCACATGGCCCAGCTGGGCTCAGCATGGAGGTTTCCAGCTGGAGAACCTCCATAAACCTTCTTAGCATCCTCTAGAATCACTCTAGTTTAACCTTGCTAAAGAGAGGAGCAGAGCACCCCAGGGAGACTTGCATTGAGTAGGGTGACTTCTGCTTTTATCCATGCCCCCATCCCCATCAAGTAAACTACCTGTGGAAGCGGCTGTTTCCTCAACCTGCTACTTTTGGCTCTTTAAAGGGCCTTGCACGTTGCCTCCTACCACCCAAGCTCTGCCAGAATAAATTTGTTTCCAATAGAGGTGGCAAAGTGCTTCCGAAATAGTCATGTTAAAGACAAATTCCAGTCTTCTCAGTGCAGCCACTAAGACCTGATGTGGCAACACATCAAATCTTTCCAGTGCCGGGACCATGGCTCAGAGCCAAAACCTTGCTTTGGATCAGATATAAAAGGTGATCTAGTGTGAACCCTAACTTCTCACTCAGAGGACAGTGTTGGCAAGGAGAAGTCCACCTAAGTCCTGATGTGCTCCTGGCTGTACTTTCTCATTATTGGTGTGACTTTATTGTTTTCCAGAAATTACCTTAATCGGTGGAAACTGCAACAAGGAAAAACATCCTGTATAAAAAAAGAGGAGCTGCTTTGCTTTGGCTCCAAGTTTGGCAGATGAGAAACATCTCTCGAAGCTTCTCCTTAAAGGATGCTACTATGGAATGGCTCTTCCCATTTCTGACCAGTTAACAGTTTCATAGACCTCAAGTAACAGTTTGATGTACCAAACACATAGTATACTGATAGGGGGTGCTACCTGCACGTATCTGTTCTGTGTATGCTCCAAATATGCCACCCCAGGGTGTATACCATATGCAATATGAATATGTGGTGGTGGCATTTTATGATATACTCCTCTCCTGCTCTCCACCCTAATAGCCTGCTGAAATCCTTATCTAAAGAACCATCTGGTTCCCTTGTGACTTGGGCACTTTGTCAAAAGCTCATACCAGATTCTTGTAGAAATATTTTGTCCCAACCAGGAAATTATTATTGTTCTCATGGCCTCCCATAACATTTGGGGGTGAAGGCAGGTTCTGAAGAGTTTTGCAAAGAACAATGGGCTAGTTCTTTGAATGGGCTAGTTATTGCTGGCTATAGCTTTTGTTAAATGGGATGAAGACTCTTAAGATTCCTACAGAGTTGTCTGAAGTTACTGCTCCTTTATCACATGTAGGAAATGAACAGGTAGAATCAAGGTTTAGAACCAAACTCTTGGGCAGACGTAGATATTGCCTCATTATCCTGGTAATGTCAGGCAGAGCTGGGATCTGACTGAGCAGAGGCCCCAACCAGCAAATTGTGGGCAGAGCCCAGCACCTCTTGTGACAGAAGCACCCCTTTTCAGAGGACTTGGGAGCCAGCCTTTTGGGGGCAACTGATGAAGGAAGGTGGCATGTCTTTCCCCTTTGTGTTGGGGTTGAACTACCTCCCTGCCTACCTGAAGACTAGCGGTGTTTGTTGGAAAGCAAAACTATGCTGCTAAGCTGGCTTGGAACCTCCTTGTTCCTGGTTTTCTCCAGAACTCTGTAAAGCACTCAAGCAAGACAGAGGACGAGCAGGAACTTGGTCTTTGAGAAGTAAAGTTCTTTTTGCAGTTAAGGCCCTCCCAGAGCATACTCTACGGAGAGCAGCAAGGGCTCCTTTCTTCCTTTGTGTCCATTTGGCCTTTGCCTTCCACCATGCCCCCAGGGCACACTGTGCATGTATTGTATGCCTGTCATTTCACGACTGATACTTGTAGCAGTGAAAGGTCCAGGGGACCAGCTGGGCAAGAAAAGAGAAACAAGGTGAGAATTAAGAAAGTGAAAAGAGGCTCCTAGAGAGAGAGAGGAGGAGAATAAAGAACATCCACTCTCTTAAACTATGTCAGGACCTCATTTTGTAGGTGAAACTCTCTTGAGGAGGCCTTTTAATGCTCTGACTCCATTCCCAGGGTGGGTAGATCCATTTCTAACTGAGTCCTGCTCTGGAGCAAACAGTATGTGGTTGATAAACAAGTCTGACTATAAATTTGCAGGCCTTATACAGCATACTGACAGGTGCCACATATGTGACTCATCAGATAGTGCCACCATAGCTGCCAATTATGGGAAATGACTAATAATCTGGGATATTACAGGGACGGGCCCCAACAACTGATAAGTGGGTTCTAAATCTCATCCTCCTAACCTCTAACAACACCTCCCCTCCTTCCTAAGACCACGAGTCTACTGAGAAAGGAATGGGAACATTTCTGCCATCCAAACTTTGTTGATCTTTGGCCATCTCTCAGTCTCTCCCAGCCCCTACCCCCACCTGCCCTGCACCCAGGAGGAACTGGAGTTGCCCTTTGTTTGGGCCATCCAGTCAACAGTCATGGCCAAGAGCAAGTTAAGGCTGGAGTAAGAAATATAGTAAATATGCTACAAACTTAGTGAGGTAGGCAGAAGTTACAAAAAGCAAGAAAATAGATTTTGTTTTGCTGTAGAAATGGAAGGAAACTTCAGACTGAAAAGAGCTAGATGAGAGCAGTTTAGGATTGTGGATGGGGCAGGTTATGAAGATGGGAAAAAATGGGAGTGAAGAAATGTGGGAGTGGGAGGGTCAGTATTTTCTGTTCCCTTTCCAGGGTTAACTTGGCCCCTAATAGGCAAAGGAGGAAGGTTCCTGTTACATACCTCCAAGCTCAGTGGATATGCATGCAGCACAGGAGGCATCAGGTGCGAGTCCCTGCCTCTCAGCCTTTCACATTTCAGTGCTTCCACATCCTCCTGACAGGAACCCTGAAATCAAATTTTGACCCCTCCTCCAACTAAACAAGTGTGGAATTATAACACCACAGTCACACTGCATGACCTGTTTCTGGCAAGCAAACTCCAGTGTGCCAGGACCTTACAAAGGCAAGGGGAAGCCAGCTTCATGAGGAGCAAGGCAGATGGAGCCTAACTTCTGACTTGCTCTGGGTGAAAGAAACAGCTGGGGAATTTCAACCTTTCTCCATGTTTTAGGCTCCTAGAGGCTGTGATTTCATCCTTGAAGGGGAGGGGAACAGGAGGAGCATAGATTTGTTTTCTCTCCATCTTCAGGACTTATTTTGGCACCCAGTCATACCCCAGGGAGAGATGCAAAATGGCATCACTGGCTCAGCTGAATCAGATGAGCTCCTAACTAGCAGATATGTGCCTGTTTCTCAGGCATCCATGCAGCATTTGTCCTGGCTGTCTGATAAAAAAAAAATAGCTTATGAGGCATTTGCAATTCTCCTTTTCTCTAGACGCCTCTCTAGTTTTTTTGTTGTGTCACTGCAATGTGTCTGGGGACAAAGCCATAAGAAGAGCATACATACTTAAGACTCTGCTGTACATATAATAAGACAAGAAGACGATGATGACTTGTCTGGGTTAAAGCCCCACCTAATGCCCAAGCATTTGCTCTGGTGCTGAATAATGTGAACTACTGGAATCAGTACCCTTCCCCATACTCCTTCTCCATCCCCACTCCTGCTCCCAAACACAGCATTCCCAACTTGTTTATAAATAAAGGGATGCAGAATTGCACTTTTGCCTGTTGTGTTTCTTGAGTGTGCTGTTGTTGTGTGCCCATTTAGAAGCTCTAGTTCAATGCAGAAAAATACAGGCATTGGAGCAGCTATCCCAGACCTCTAGCTGGCTTTGCCCATCTGTGGCTCCAGCATTCAGAAGGATCTGACTACACTGTGCAAAATGGGGACAAATCTTGAAGTTGCTAAATGCCCTACATCTTGATTTAAAAGCTAAGTTAATAATGCACCCATTAAAAACTGTGGAGAGATAGATAGAGAGAGAGAGAGAGAGAGAGAGAGAGAGAGAGAGAGAGAGACAGACAGAAGGTGAACTTACATAGAGCCACCTAGAGGGAAAGTCATGTGGTGAGCCCAGTCGGGAACCTAGATTGTTGGTCTTATTACTCACTTGCTTGGTGACTTTGGCCAACCACTTCACTTCTCTGGTCTCTACTTTTGTAAGATGAGAGGGTTGGAGGAAATGGTTTCTGAAGTCTCCTTTGGCTGCGAAGTACTATGCATTGCTCCCAAGCTTCTTGAAGCTATCATGCTATCTCTGTGTGACCAGGAGAAAGTGCTTACTTCTCACTGAATAGAAAGCTGGAGAGATGGTCCTCCAGTCCCCTGGGGTCTCCACAACCAGCATTACTGGTGATCTTACTTCCATAATTGGAGCATCAAAATAAAAGACTCTCAGACTTTACTTTTCTTACTTTGCGACTTAACAAAATACTTCATGTGTACCTAGACTTTGGGAAGTGGCCATGTTTAATACTTTTCCTTTTGGGGGGAGAAATATCCTTTGATCAGCTGGAGACAGGCAGATGGAGGTGGAGGTGCTAAGTCATGCCCAAATGTCAATAATGAAGGCAGATGTTGATGTTCTGCAAAGTGTGCTTATGCCCTCCCCTCACTCAATTTAGGAGCTTCCATTACCTCCATCTGGAGGGGTTTAGCTCTTTGAAGTAAATATAGTTCTAATACTAGCCTGGATTCTAGAATAAATAAAGCTAGGGATGTAGTGATCAAGGGAATACATTTTAAAACAATACCTGTTATTCATAGACCACATTATTTGGCCTTTTCATACAGATTAAACATGATCTTGACAGATTGTATTTAAAGCAAAAGTTAATTGGTTTTTCTTGACTTTTCTGATACCTCAGACATAATCTCCAGGGGAAAATAGCAAATTCTAAGCTATGATAACACTCATATTTAATAACTTTGATGTTTGATGCAAAGAGAATTAACCTTTGTTAATAAACAGAACTCCTTGGAAGAGGTACACTACAAAAAATGTTTCCACGTGTTTCCATTCCACACATTGTGTTGGAGTACTCATTGGCTATTGAAATTGAAAGTTTAAGGGACTTCTCCAGGTATTCAGCAGGAGATGTCAGATAAGACTGCCATCAGGACATTTTCCAGACAGAATATGACAATCTGTACACATATAGGTGTACCCAGTGATCAAATTACTTTAGAAACCATCAAGTACAAACCAACAAATAACCAGTATAATCTAAAAATACTATTAACACCACAAATATCTGCAGATAATAACTAGGGCATATGTTGGGTATTTCTGTACTGCATTACTTGTATCCTAGAAAAGACACCATATAGGCTAACCCTCAGTTGCAATTGATCAAATGTGGTAAAGTTGATAAGATATATTCAGGATAGGGTTGACTTGTGCTGTCCCCTATAAATCATTTTATCCTCCTTTACTCAATCTTTCTTGGGTAGTAGGGAAGAAGGAATTAATCCACAAGGTTAATGTACTCTATTCATAAAAGGAGAGTTCTGATTAAGGGATTAGGTACAACAAAAATATTGGACATGTAACTTTTCACTTAAAAAGAAAAATGAAATCATACTTGAAAAAATATGGAGTACTCTATCCTTTCCACAAGGACCTTTTTCAACTTACTATACTTGCAAATAATCCTGTTATTCTAAAATTTCCAAGTCTAGAGAAAACCTGTCATCATCTGCCAAGTATGTGGCAGGCCATGACTCATTACCTACCTTGAGAAGATAACCAGTCTTCCTTTCTTGTTTGGTAGTCATGTTCTACTAGACAAATGTTGATGAGATGCCATTTACTATCCTGATCACAAACTCACATTAACACAAATGAGTCTCTAATTTTCCATTTGTTTCCGTATC